TTTTCATATCCAATAATATATAAAAAGGAACAAACAGATATGATGAAATATTGAATGCAGAGGGTGAACTTAAATCTATGCAAGAATTGGAACAGGAAGGAATAAAGATGAATTGGTTTTCATATTTGCAAATAAAGTCTAGATACCACAAAGATCTTAAAATGGAAGGTTTTCATGATAAAATGACTGAGTTAGATAAAATTTTGACAGGTACAGATGAAAAGGTAATTTAAAAACTATATGGATATTTGTTAGAGGTTAAGCTAGAAGAAGAACAAGTTAAAGAACCTATGGCAGCTTGGGGGAAAAACTTTGGACATGGGATTGAATTAGAGAAGTGGCAGAAATTGTGGTCTCAAAATTATAAAATTACAATGTCGATAGCATATAAAGAAAATTTGTATAAGATATTTTACAGGTGGCATTTTCCCCCAAGCTGCCATAGGTTCTTTAACTTGTTCTTCTTCTAGCTTAACCTCTAACAAATATCCATATAGTTTTTAAATTACCTTTTCATCTGTACCTGTCAAAATTTTATCTAACTCAGTCATTTTATCATGGAAACCTTCTGTTTTAAGATCTTTATTGCATCTAGGCTTTATTTGCAAGTATGAAAACCAGTTCATCTTTATTCCTTCCTGTTCCAGTTGTTGCATAGATTACGTTCACCCTCTGCATTCAATATTTCACCATATCTAACTGTTTGTTCCTTTTTATATATTATTGGATATGAAAATGCTTCAATAGTTGATAACCAGACTGGAATTTTTAAGTAATGTTGCCTTTTAATCGTCTCCCAATTTAATAACAAAGCCTCCTGTATATAATGTCTTCTGAAATACCCTTGTGTTTTAGTTCCCTCGTACCATAAGAAAGCGTGCCATCCCAACAACAGATCATGTCCTTCCACAGTCAGTAATCTAGAATTTCTTAATGTTATCCACTCCTTCACCCACATTAGGCTTGTTGCCTGATAATATAATTCCCAGTTGGGCAGACCAAATCCTCCTCTTATTCTAGCATCTTCTAATAATTTTTATTTTATTTTTGCTTTCTTTCCCTGGCAAATATATTTCAACACTATTTTATTTAAGTCGTTCTTTCCCTAATCTGATTAGAATTGTCTGGAACAAATATAAAATTCTGGGCAATATATTCATTTTGATTGTAAATATTCTCCCTATCATTGATAATTGTACATTTTCCCGCTTTGTCAAGTCTGTCGCAATCTACTGTAAAAGCCCTTTATGTTGAGTTATATTCTTTTGCTTCGTCTTTGTTGCATCCAGTATCAGAGGAAATCACCTCAGGAGAGTTCCTTGGCTTTTTAGCAATCTGCGGCTACTCTTCTCCCATTTTCCCAAGATATTAGTCATCAAGGTTGGGAAAACAAGGGCTGATACACTATAGATAGCTGGTGCTTACACCTGAATCCTGTTACATGTGGCTGAATTAGAACCATAGGATATGGAATGGCTAAAATTCCAATAAAGTTCAGGACATCATTCTAAGATAGCTTTGCTAAATATTAAATATTCTACTCATTACACACATTACACACTGAACTGTAGTGATGCAGTGGTTAGAATGCAATATTGCAGGCTAATTCTGCCCACTGCCAGGAGTTTGATCCTGACCGGCTCAAGATTAACTCAGCCATCCATCTTTCTGAGGTCGGTAAAATGAGGAACCAAATTGTTGGGAGCAATATGCTGACATTTGTAAGTCATTTAGAGAGTTCTGTAAAGCACTATGGAGTGGTATGTAAGTCTTAAGTGCTATTCATATTGCTATGTTGTACATCTACCATTCTTCAGAACATTTTGTGGTAGCATCATCCTTGAATAGGTCTTTCCCCAGAGATGGATTACATCTGAGATGTCAAACTGTGCATGTCATGTGTTGTATGTTATTGACAGCTGTCGAACTGTACATTCTGGCTTCTAAGTAATAGTAATTATCTGTTCTTTACAGGCTATCAACCATAGTTAAGGCTGATCAAATTCTTGTGATCCGGGACGGCCATGTGGTAGAGCGTGGAAGGTAAACAAATGTAAAAAAACTCAGAGATGAAGTGAACCCCTATATTTTCCCCACTTTACTTCCCACCAAACAAATATTAACAGAAGTGTGGATTTCTCCCTTTTCAAGTCCTGTTCAAAGTAGACAGTGGAATCATGGAAACAGGACAGTTATTATTGTTGTTTCTAATACTGCTTTAGATGACTTTGCCAGAAGGTTAGTTTGAGATAGCCAGATCAGAAGTGGAGTATTAGCCCCAGATGCAAATTATTGCTCA